CAGATCTGGAGTACTGCTCTAGTGACAGAAGCACCACTTTCAGACAGCAGTATCCTCAGCCAAAGACCACTCAAGCCAGTGGAACAACCCTTTGAATTCACTGGACGTTGGATCAAGCCTTCACAACTTACTGACAACAGCAGATATGTTAAGAACCCTCCATGCCTGTATGACAAAAATAGATCCCCTGTTTGAGAAACAGAGGTAACAAAAATTACCCCTCTGCTCAGAGAAAAAAATCTCTAGCCAACAGTAATAGGACTTTTCAGGAAACAAACCTGCACCCAAAAGTTAAACAGTTCAATAAATATTATTACAGGGTAAAGGTGAAGTCAGGCAGGTAATGCAACTCAATTGAACAATCTCCCCACTGGAGGCCAACCATTATCCCTGTCATTGACCTTTCAGCTACTGCTCTCTACTAAATGCAGCCTCCAGAAAATAAGCTCTTGCTATTGTTGATGTGAAACACCATAGCAGATCTTAAGGGCAGAGTTCATGAGGGGAACTGTACTTTTCTTCTATGATTTGGAGACATGATGTGGCAGCAAAATGTATAGGATTATATGGAATGTTTTCACACAGTTTTCACAGTTACATTACAAATCAATTGCTGAAATACAAGGATTAGCTGGATCCTTTGTTTTGCCATGCAGTCTACTGCAGACAATCAAAAGTGATAATAACAGTGCATAAAAACATTTATATATAAAATAGCATGGATATACTTTCCACTTTGCAAGGGGCCCATCCTCACCTAGGCTCCCTGTAGTGGTGAATATAACACACCAGGGAACTGCAGAGAGATCCTCAAAGCCAAAGGTGACTTTGTAACTATGGATGAGAAACATTGTAAGATTATTACCTGAAGCTAAAGCAGTAATCTGAAAGCTACCAAGACTACTAAAATTAATGGAAATTCATCAGTGCTCTGCTAGGTTTAACTCGCACAGAAATTGCTAACATGCAGTACCTCCACTAAGGATGTTTAAGCATCCTGACAGCACAAGAAACCTCGCTCCATTTGCACGAGGCAGCACGCAGAAGAAGAAAGTAATCCAAAACACGTTATGTTTCCAGACCAATACAAGCACCACAGCTCTAACCATCTGAACCTGTACAAGATCTACACTCACATGACACAACCAAGAGATTGACAAAAAGAATCCTGTCTGTTTCTCCTCACTGGCTCAAAATAAAATGAGATGAAAGGGACAGTAATAGTGAGTTTAGTCTGTTCTCCAACCTAAACCATATTCCATTCTTTCTAAACACTCAAACTTGTTCTTCATGGCCACAAGTAAAGACTTCTTAAAGTTCTATGTTAACTCTGAGAAATGTTAAAAACTTAATAGGCGTTTTCTGTGATGAAAGTTAATCCCACTTCAAACTGCCCATCATGGCCACCGAAAATAGCATCTCCTTCTTACAAATCTTTTAAATACTTGAAATCTCTTACATTCCCACTAAACTCCTCATCTCTTGCCAAAATAACTTGGATTTTCTTCCACATTTATGAAGTTGTTTCCTCGAACTCTGATTACTCTCATTTCTCTACTCTGAACTCCTTCCAAGTGGTCCAAATTCTTCTTGAATCTTGGCACCCAAAACAGATGCTGTCTGCACAGGCTGTACATCAACAGCAAATAAAGCCAATGGATTTAAACTTTACATCTCTCAGACAATACTGCTGTTTAAACATCCCAGTAAGATATTTGCCTTTTCTGCAAAACAGCATGACACTGACTCATGTTCAACTTGTGATCCAGTACACCCCCAGGTCCTTTTTCTAGTAGCTAACCAGTTAATCTTCACCCTGCATTTCAACAGCTGCACTTCCTGCCTAAGTGCAGTACCTGCATTTGACCCTACTGAATGTTGAGCTATTTTTTCAGGTTATTTTGAACTCCCATCATGTCCTCCAAAACAGTCCCTGAGAATTTAATCAGCCAGCTGACTAATATTTTCATTAAAGGCCAGGACCCAGGACAGAATCCTTCAACACAACTTCTCATTTTAACACCGAATTGTTAATTACAGCTCTCCAGATAGGATCATCTACTCCCAGGTCATACCTCCATTTACTTATGAGGCCATTAAAATGAGGAAAACCTTTCTAAATCAATCAATTCAGGAGACTAAACCTCCATGGCTTCTGCTATAGCTACTGAGCCTTCTGCTCTGCAGTAAAAAGGTATCAAGATTTCAGACACAATTACTTTTCCCACAAATCAGTTCATGGTTCTGTATCTTCCAAGTACTTGAAAATAGAATGTTTGCTTATTAATCTCAACTGATAGAAAAAACTGGGACAAACTGAACTGTCAGACTGTCACTTGTCTTTCTTGGCTCTTCTCCTTTGTAGCTGTCTGAAGACTCATCCTTTGTCATCTTCTAGTACTTCTGAGTAGCTCTAGGTAATATTTTTTAGCTGTTTTGAGAATTGTACAGTGAAACTTATCAGGGGCAGCTGGCACAGAAACATCTAGCAGAAGTACACTGTAGTGTAAAATACTACCTTGTCAAAAATATCCCTAAAATTAAGCACCTGCATGACGCTATGTGAAAGACAAGCAGAACAGGCACTGAGCCCTTCAAATGTTCTGCATCTCCTGCAGACACATGCGCTCCCCACCAAATCAAGTGAGGCACTTCCCAATCTTCCTACTACTTCCCAATCTACTGCTTCCCTACTACATTTCCCAATCTTCCTACTGCTTTTGCAGGTAGCTGACTTTTATGTCTCTTGCTACTTGCCATTCCATTTGCACTGCAGCCTTGGTGATATCTGCCTCTACTAGTCTTTCTCACATGTTATTCACAATGTGACTCAATTTCACATTCTACATAGATTTTCTTCTTGCATCCCAAGTCAGTTAAGCTGCTCTTACTACTGTTTCTCAAAAGCCTTCTCATTACAATGTTCAGCCATTGCCATTTATCACCTTTCATTTTGACATCTTCTAGCTAGAATAAAATCTGAAGGAGCTGCCATTTTTGTTACTGCATATACCCTCTAAACTGAAAATATCACTGTCATATAACTTTGCTAAAGGTCAAAAAAAAAGAGTTGTGTATTTTGATTTTGAAGGATGATCTTTTAGTCTTAAATACCACATAAAAAATCCCAATCCAACTAAAAAGTAACGGACTTGCTACCAGTTCTACTACCACATCCAAAGGGCCGTTTTAAGATGAACAATGTAATGTCACAATTCTAATAAAGCAGAACCATAAAAAAAAGGGCTAAATTTGTTCAAATGAAAACCACACAACGAAAAAATGAAAACACAGAATGAATGCAAATGCAGCTAATTCTACTAAGTTTGATAGGATTATGAAACTGATTGACGCTGCACCACTTCAGAGGAATCAGCAAGATTCCACAGCCACGGAGACCCCTTCCCAATCCCAACCCCCCACAACACTGCATGAAGAAATTAAACATTTTAGAAAAGGGGCAGCAAAACAGAGAACTTCAGCTTTTTGTGCAGATCACATCCATAGCTCCTGAACAGAAATTGTAAATCACCCATCCTTTTTTATTCAAGCCTGCTTTTCAGCTACTAAAAATTAAAGTTTACAGTCTTATTTCAATCAGGAATAAAGGTGTCAGACTTGAAGCTATAATACAGCCACAGTTTACTATAAAATGAACTTTTGTTCTCTGCTATGCAGATTATTTAACAAAGGAAGCAGCTTTTTTATGAATGAAAACTATTTTTAGCTCATTGTGTAAGAGTGAAAGGGCAACACTTTAGCATTACTGTTATTTAAAACATTTTTTTCAATGTTTAATTGTGAAATTAGGATTTTTGAACTAGGATTTCTCTTGTATGCACTTTCTCATGCTAATCATAACCATATCCAAGCACCAGTCAGAATGCTGGGAGGTTTTTCACCACTGCAAGTCCACAAAAACTATTTATCTGTATAACAACATGACTCCAGACCCAAAGCAGGTTTGACCATAGCAGATGTCATGCTGTGGAGACCAATAATTCCTGCCCAAAAAAAACCTGAACTTAAATACAAGCTCTGTTCTCCAAGGCAATTCTTGCACATTGAAAAGATGAGCCTGAACACAAATGGAAGAACCACCTATGTTCACATTACATTGATAAGAGTTTTAGAAGATATAACTAAAGGACTTTGTTTCACAAGGCAATAAAGAATTACACATCTTCTCTCCATGCCAGCTACCATCAGGCTCTGTCCTGGAGTGACTTTATGATGCTGGTATCCATCATCTGTCTACCACACAGACAATAAATAAGGAAGGTGTTACAACCATACTCCCTGGTCTGCAGTTGAAGATGCTTGAGCACAGCACTCAATAGAGACATTTACCACAACAGAAGTAATAATTTCTACAACAGACCCTGGACAAGCTAAGTCAAAGTAATCCCCTGCTGCAGATTTCATTTGTTTACAGAAATAAAGCAAACACTATGTGAAGGTTTCCAGAAAATGAACAAGGATGCAATGATCAAAATGCTTGATGAAAACCTGACCCTTCCAGTCAGTTCCCAGTTCTACTACTGATTTCCTCTATGACCTGGACACTCAACTTGCACCTGGGTTTAACAATATAAAGGTATTTCACTTCCACAGAATAAATGGAATTTATCTTCATCCCACAGAAAATCAACATCTTGGCAGCTGTTTTATACTCCACACAGAAAACAGTAGGACAGTACCTCCTCAAGGCAAATGATAAAATATAATCTGAGGGTTCCATGTCAACACATAAATTAATTTCCTTCTTTTTAAATCATTTATTAGCAAAATAGTTTGTCTGATGCGCCATGCCTGTCACATGGCACAGAAGCAGAAGAGGACTGAATCACAAAGTTTCTCAATCACTCAGGCATCATGATGCAACTTCCCTTCCTGCTAGGCAGCCCCCACGCTCCCTTGCAGGCACTGTGAGCTTCCTGACCAGGCAGCTGGGACCTTTCACCCCCCTCTCTCCAGGTTAGGGATGAATTAGTGCCTACCAATGCCATGAGGTGTCCTCCACAGACTAGGAAGAAATGAAAAATAAATACAGGAACAGATGCCTGATCCTAGAAAACAACAAACAAAAAATTTAAGTGGGGAGAGCAAAACATGCTCAAAGTCTAGACAGCACTACAGGAAGACACCAAGCAGAGCTTGGAACAGCCCCACTGCTCCTGGGAGGTATTTGGGAAGGCAGCAGCTGCTGTCCAGCAGCTCTGCTGGAGTCTGCAGAACTGCTCAGACCCCTTTCACTGCTTACACCTCCTTGTGTCACCGACAGTAAGCCTTAGCCAAAACCAGTTAACAAAAAGATCTCTCTTACTCATTTTTAAAGCACTTTAAAAACTGATAACCTTAGAGCACATCAGTTTTTCACAGCTGGCCTAGGTGCTCACACTGGAACACTCAATGTAGCCAGAAGCCACAGTTCTTTCCCACACGTGACTACACCAACAATAGATGACATTTTTGTTCCACTAAGTCATGCTAATCATACACTTCTTAGAAGGGTTAGATCAGTACTAATCAATTTCCAAGTCAATTGTACAGTTCAAAGTTTACACAGCATATTTTCTTTAAACTTTGTGAAACTGTACTTGTAATGAGCCAACAAGTAAAAAGCAGCTAACAAAAGCAGCAGTACATAGCCGTCAGTGTCATGCCAAACACCAAGACAAACATTTCCTCAGTATATGTGTAATAAAGATAAACTGCTGTCACTCATGACACTGATACAGGAACATTAAGTTTATGAGGACCACACTACACCATAAATTTTAAATAATGTCAAAAAAGCTGTTTCTCACAAGATCAAGAAAATCAATATTCTAAAGGATGTGACAACATTGTACAAAATTTTAAGAAAAGGCAAAAGTAGCAATTCTTTCAAACATGATGGACTGATGGCTGAAAAATATTGCTAACCTGTCTGAAGAGCCAGTGTGTGGACAAATCTCATACATACAACAGCTGAGTCACCTACAACAACAACAAAAAAAAAAAGTCAGCGTAATGAATAGGCTAAATGAAACATAATCTTGATTGCCCTTGCTAAGAAAACACCATACAATTGCAGTGAGTGCATACTGCAAAGAAAACACATTAACGAATTTTAACTCAGCAAGCTCAGAGAAGGAAGCAGTCAGCCACCGTGGCCAGACAACTATCAGCACTCACGTTAAAACAGTTTAGAGTAAACCATCTCCCACTGCTGGAGGCTATGCTACCTCAGCTTCCTGAAGACTCCAAAAGTCTCTTCCAACTACAGCACCTGCAGGGATACGCTAATCCCAGCAGGCAAGCCAGAGCACTGACGGTAGCAGCAAGCTTTAAGAGCCAATACTGTAGATACGCAAGTTAATCTTCACCTTCGGTATCAATTCTGCCAAGGGTCTCAGTGTTTAATTCACCTAGTAGCTGTTTATCCCTGAACAGGCATAGCGGGCCTCCTCTTAGGGATGACGCAGTGGCTGTCAGAGGCGCTCGCAGAGAGAGATCCCCGGCTCAGCAGCTCAGCTGCTGGAAAAGTGCTCCACAGCCTTTGTCAGCAGGAGAACGCACTGACTCATGTGCTGAAAAAGGGATGAGCCGCACGGAGTCCTCAGCCTGGACTGCCAAAGTTTCTCCTCGGTACACCATCACCAGCATTCCCCACCGACCCCGCCACTGCAGAGCACGCTGACGTGTGCCCAGGCGGCGGAACGCGCGCTGTTCGGTAACCGGGACCGCGGGCAGAACTGGGGCCGGGCTCGGAGGACGGAGGGAGCCGCACGGGAGAGCCGCCCGAGCTGCCCCGCCAGCCCGGGGTGGCCCTGGGCGGGCGGGGGGCGGCCGGGCCCGCGGGCCGGCGCCGCACGTGTCCGGACACCGGCGGCCGCCGCACGCCCGCGCTCCCGGCCGCGCGCCCAGCCCCGGACCCGCTCCGCGGCACCGGCCCCGCCAGAGCGCCCGCGCCGGGCCGGGCCGCCCCGCGGGGGCTGCCGCGGCCGGAGGAGCGGCCGGCACGGCTGGAGGGCGCTGCGGGCGGCCGTGCCGCGCCCGGCGCGGCGGAGACCGCGGGCGCCGCTGGAGGCCCGCGGACCCTCCCTCACCTGCCGGGCCGTGCCGTGCCGTGCCCGCGGCCCCACTCACCGGCGGCCTCAGCGCAGCCCCATCGCCGGCGGGGCGGGCGCGGGACCGGCGCGGGACCGGCGCTCCCCCCCCACCCCGCCCGCCGCGCGCGGCTGCCTCGCGAGGCGCGAGCGGGTCGGCCGCCAACCGGCTGCACGCGCCGGCCGCGCTGGGCGGGGCGGGGCGGGGCGGCCGCGGAAGTGACGGAGGCGCGGCACGCGCCCGCCCCGCCCCGCGCCGGAAGAGCGGGGGTCGCGCGGGGCCGGGGGCGGGGCCGGAGGGGGCGGGGCCTCGGGGGAGGGGCGGGGCGG